TAAACTAAATAAAATTCTTGCTTTATTCCGTAAATAAAATAAAAGAGCTAATAGTTCATACACAGAGCAAATTTTATGAAGCACTTTTTCCTTTTTTTTTAATAAAAAGGCATTAATATTGTTATGAAACTCCCAGCTGCGAAAAGATAGCTTCTCTGCAGAGCAGGTTTAGGGTTGCCAAAAAATGTCAAGGGAAGGTAGAGTTACCAGATTTGGCACGAAATCCCTCATTGGGCAACAAAATTGGTGAATTCTCTAAAATGAATTCTTACTGGTTTGGCCCAGAATGTTCTCGAATGCAAGCCAAAAGCTATATAAACCCTGCCTTTATGCAGAGCAGTAGTGCGTATTGTCAAGTTTTATCTTGTGTTGAGCTCTGAAAGCGATTGACTGAGTCGAGCTGTACTTTACAGTGTTTAGCCATGAAGCTGTCTTCACTGTTATGGCCTGACAGCCTGAAGGCTGTGTTGCTGATTGTTTCAGGGTGTTTGTATAGTTTTTCAATGACTGTAAACCGGATTTTGGAATTGTCCTGAGTAATACTGGTTAAATAAATTGTGTTTTGTTTCTTCGTCAATTGTTGTCATCAGTCACTCCAAATCCGCGAACCTGTAGAATGCTACAACCGGTGTCAGAAGTGGGATTTGTGAGTAAATGCCAGTGACCCGCCGTATAGGAAAACCCATGGTGGAGAAAATGAAAATGATGAACTTCTTAACAGCTGTAAAAGCTGGACTCAAAGAGATGAAGACTGAGATGGAAGTCGAACAAGAAGAATTATTTAGCGAAATAAGGTGGTATCAATAAGAAATAAAAGCCGGCAAGAAAAGCTGCTAAAGGAACTCCAACTGATGAAAGTGGAGCTTACAGAAGAAATTGGAGCTAAAATAGAAGTCGTGGAAATGACAGTAGTAGCATCTGAAGAATCAAAGGCTGAAGAAATGAGGGAAGTAGCTTGTGAAGTATCTGAGAAAAATCAAGAAATGAAGGAGGAAACATTTAACGAGATTAAAGAAAAAGAACAAAAAGGTGAAGAAATAATTCATGGAAATAAAGTTCTTTCTTTAAGTGCTTGAAGTAAAGATGGAAAAAAGTGAAAATGTGACTGTTAAGTTTGTAGAAACTGATATTGGAGTTACTGAAGTCACAGGTCAGGTATTGAACCATCTGAAAAAACATGTGATGCAAAGATAGGAGAAGGTGATGTACAGCTTAAGCAGAGTGTTTCAGTATTGCAAGAAAATACACCCCAACTGGGTATGTGTCTCATAGTGCAAGTTGTATAGATACAAACTTGATTCTTAACCAGGAGACTTCTGTTTCTAAAGAATTGGATTGTATTCATAACTCTGATGCAAACATCGGAACTGACTTTCAAGAAATTGAGGTAAATAAGCATGTACCAACTGCTAAAAGTACCGAGGTGAACTGTACACATGATGTGACTAAACCACAGAGTAGTGAACAAACTGTTTTAGATCTTCCTGTGGATGAAAGGACTGAATCTTCAGACTGTGATATGCAACACAGAAATACATCTAAGAACTGCAGTGAAGGTATTTAAACCGGCAATAACTTAATGGGGAAAAAAAGAGATTAAAATTCATTCATCTGTATAATTTAAAATTATGTGGTTAATTTTTGTATATAACTTGTAAATACTGTAAATGTTTGTTTTATTACCTTTAGCTTGTATTGAATTTGGCTTTTGACCAAGGATTTTACTGCCCAGGGCATGCAGGCCTTGGGAGGGGGCAGTGTTATGAAATGCTGAGCTGCGATAAGATAGCTTCCCCGCAAAGTGTGTTTTAAGGTTGTCAGAAAAGGGCAGGGATACCAGATCTGGTGCAAAATCGCCCATTTGGCAACAAAATTGGTGATGTGCCATAGGCGGATGGAGAATATTCTAGAATAAATTCTTACCAGTCTGGCCCAGAATGTTCTCGAAGGCAAGTCGAGCTATGTAAACCCTGCCTGTATGCGGAGTAGCATTGAATTTAACCTTGAGTGTGTTGAGCTTCAAGAGTGATCAACCAAGTCGGGAGTGGTACTTTAATGTTTTCCCATGAAGCTGCCTTCACCGTTATAGCTTGAAGGCTGTGTTGCTGATTGTTTCAGCAGGTTTATTGTAGTCTTTTTATGACTATAAATGTGACTTTGGAGCTGTCCTGAGTAATGTTGGCTAAATAGTGTTTTGATTCTTCATCAAGTGTTGTCATCAATCACTCCAAATCCACGAACCCGTAGAATGCAAGAATATGATAAAAATAAACTTTTGGGCTGTCCATACTTAACACTGTATGGAAACCAAAAGTGTGCAATAATGCATGCTAGAATTACACATAAGCAGATTTAGATGTCTACTTCAATAAAAGTCACTCTTTATCACTAACAAAATAATTTGAGGAAAACATGCTTCGATTTAATGAACTCCAGAACTTGTTCTGTGACCCAGCAAGTAAAGAAGGATATGAATCATTGAACAACAAGGTGTGTAGATATTTTGAGGCATTTAAAGTGCTTCTTCTCAATTCAAGATTAATGAAAATTATAAAGAATGCATTTGTTACAAGAAGGTAAGAAGAATGTCAGTGTTGCAAAATATAGCTATGCGATAAGTTAAGAAAATTGCCTGGAAACATTAAAGGTACTTCTGCTTGAAAATGGGTAATATCAGTGCTATCTTACTTTCTTTCAGCCATTAATACCATTTTCATGAAATTGGTCGCTAAGAAAACCTGTAAAACTAGTTTAGTTATTTGATACAGTGTCTGTGATGTGAAGAATATGATTTTGCATTTTTTTTCCTTTTCAAAAGGCATTAAGCAAGATATTGATGTGGACGAGATTAAATATAGTAAGTAAAAATTATTGTCTAGCTGCAATTAGGTAGTGTCTTAGAATTAGCACTATTCTGTGAAGTGTTCTTTTCTAAACCTTGGAAAAAATTTAAGGCTTGGAATTTTTATTGACAGATTACAGGGTCAACCAAGTAAAAATTGCACAACAGAATCATGTAGCCATAATTATCCAGCATCATCATTACTCAGCATCAACCCAACATGATGGCTTAATCACACTTCTTGGGTAGAAATGCTAATTTATTTTGTTTTGTTAATATTTTGTGATACATTGATATGAAGTGATATTTAATATACTGTAGGGGCGACAAATAATGTACATACAATGATTATTGCAAAGAATTTAAATCTTAATTTCTGAAGCAAACATAGCTTTATATCCTACTCAGTTAGTTTTCCCAATACTGAATTACATTTTGATTTTCTCATATCATTAATTTACATTTAATAAAACTTCCTGTGTTGTGAAATTTCCTTAATCTTTATTTCAAAATACTTGGTGAATATCTAGATCTGTTATTGTTGTTTCATCCAATGTAAACAGGGTAAAATTCAATAAATAAAAGTATTTGAAGAATGGTGTTTTTTAACTAGCAGTTTTTTTTTTTGTGTGTGTGTGTGTGTGTGTGTGTGTATCCTGTTGGCAAATCTATGCCAACAAAAGCTGATACTTAAATATGTAAAGTGCAATCAATATTCAGAGAATTTGCATTTAATTGTCATAAAATTTCATTTACTTAATTAATTCCCAAAAGAAGAAATAATTGAGAAATGAACATGAAACTTCCTATTTATGCATTATTCCCTGGCTAAATAATTTTATCTCATTTCATCATGTTGCATAAAAATACAGATACAATTTTTGAAGTCTCGTAGAATGTAGCATTACTGCAATCAAGTAATTTTTTATTCATGAATATCTGGGGAGCATTTTCATGCAGTATTACTCTGTATATATTGTTACATACATTATTTTTGTTTATTGTTAAAACATTTCTGATTAATATGGCCTAATTTATCAGCTTTATTAGTTTCAGAGTTTGTATTAGAAAATCACACCAATCTTATTTCCTCAATTTTAAGTTCTTTAGTTTATGATAATTCTAAATTTTTATGATTTCAGATGTCATGTCCCTAACAGAACATCTCTAAGTTAGATATCAAGAAAATACTAAGATAACAGCTACTGCTATTTCATTGCTGTCATTTTTAATTTGTAACAGCAACAGATTTTCTGTAGCTTACAGATCTACTGCCCATTTTCGTATAATTTGCTATCATTTTTTATTGAGGAATTGTGATGATTTTTCACAATTCTGTATTATTTTAGTACATGTGTGAATATGAAAAACTGAAATTATTTTTCATTAAATAAACTTTCCGTACTTTCCGTGAAAGATATTACAAATTTTCACTTGGTGAATATTTGTCTTTATTTTCCATACTGATGGCTGTAAATAAGAATGTTTTTTATTTGCTTAATTGATTATGCAAAACATGCAAACAGTTCCTTGAGGGGAAGAAGACATGAAGTACATTCTGGAAGTAAATGGCTCATATAAATGCAACACAGCGGAATAAAAAAGATGCATGCAGCTAGCCTGTATATGTGCCAGTTTCCCTCAGAAAGCCCTCCACAAAAGCATCCCTTCCCTTAGGCACATAGTCCTAATGTTCTTTGCCATAATCATCCAAACCAAACCCATGCAGCTGGCCTCTCTGCCAGGATATTTTCTTTATGTTATTAGCAGATAACCTTATGTAATGCAATTCATTTTTCAGTTATGTGAAAATGTTTGCTGTGTTTAGTTGAATATGTCATGTGTAAAAATGTGATAATTCTGAAAGTTCTTAAAGTAGTAAATGATACTACTAAAAACATTCTAGTGGCACAGATGTTTGCAGAATTTGCTGTGCTTTGAATGTATATTTTGTCACTTGGTCACTCTTTTTATTTGTTCTTTATTACATAACTCAGCATTTTATGTTAACTTGCTATGAATTTTAGAAAAATATTTTATTGTGCATAATAACAAGTTGTCAGATTTTTTTAATCAAGTACGTACATAAATTAGTAATTTAGACTAATTTATTACAAAATTTTATTCAGATCACATCAAGACATATGAATCTTTTTAGGTGTAAAAGTTCCTGATGAAAACTTAACCCCGCAGCAACGGAGGCATCGAGAAGAGCAACTTTCCATGATAAGAAAGATGCAGCAGTTATTATTTCCAGAACAACAGCAAATGGAACAAGGTCAGAGTAATATGGGACCAGTCCTTGCTGGAATGCCCCAACAGCATGGTCCACAATCACGCTTTGGGCCTGGTGATATGTGTGTTCATCCTGGTATGGATGTATGTTTCAGTCCTCATCAACCATGTATGAGTGACCATGAGCATGCCCATCCGTCTTCAGATATGTATATGGGATCACCAGTGGTAGGAGCAGGATTTCATCAGCAGAATTTTCCTGCTGCGTCTGTATCTGCTCAGATTGAATGGCAAAAATTACAACATCAATTTTACGAAGAGAGGCGCAAAAAGGTTTGCAGCAGTGTTCCATTGTCTCACCCTGCCATTGGACCACAGATTCAACAGACTACAATTCAACAGCAAGCGCCACCACTGCAACCCCAACAGCAGTCTATATCTCAGCCCCAGACACCACAACAGCAAAATTTGAACAGTCCTAGTCCAAGTTTAGGTTTAAACTCTGGTGCAAGAGTTCAAGGCCCACCACCACCATATCACCAAACGACCAGAAGAGCTATGCCCAGTCCTCATCCTGCATCACCTAATCCTAGTTCTCTTTCATTACCTTCTCCACGCATGACGTCAGGACTACCATCTCCTGCAGATCCTTCAAGACAGTTTCCACATCCTACTCCTCCTGGTCCAAGATTACCGCATCCTAGCCCAGGGTCAAGCACTCCAGCAGGCAGCAGTAGTTTGCATACTACTCCTCTTAATTCTCCAAAGCCTCATAACACATCAGGTCCCGGTTCTAATGGAGGAACATTAACTAGGACTCCTACTACTCCATCCAACACTGCATCTACTCCCGCTGGCACTCCAACTAGTTCCTGTGCCCCTGTGCTACCTAATTCAGGTCCTGCAACTCCTGCAGGCTCTTGTACTTCAAATAGAAAACAAAGTCTATCATGTGATATTCAAGATTCTAATTCAGTTGGGTCAGCAACTAACACAAACAATGAGTTTGTATCTGGTCCATGTCCTATATCAACATCAAGTAGTTCGCAAGGTAATTAATGTCATGGTGTCGTTTCAAAATTTGTGTATTATTATGCTTTTTGTACAGTATTTCCTGAATTGTCATTTTCTTGGTAATTTTTATAGGTGAATTATTTTGCCATAACATTCATTCATGCAGTCAGTCCACCCAGAAGCCAGAGCATTGTTCTGGACATAGTGGGATGTGTCAGAAAGAACCGAGTCTTATGCCTGTTCCATCTCCTCAGCAAATTCAGTATTTGAATGCATTTGATGGACAAGAATTGACTATACAGAAACAACCTAACACAAGCATTAGAGATTTAGATATGATGTCCCCAGCTAGGTATGTGTGATAAATTGTTTTTGTAGCTGGATAAATTTAAATTTGTGATAAATACTGAGTCATGTGTTAAGGAAAGCATTCTCTTCATACCTTAAATCCCCAAATTATTTATTGAATTGAGCCAGTTGTTAATTCCAACATATCAGAAATAATAAGTATTACAAAGTTAGTGCTGTTAAATCATACTTTGATTTTATAATATTTCAATATAGTAAGATAATTCAAATATATTACTTTAATGGATCTCAAACTCTTTTCAGAGGCATGAGTGGAGTAACTGGTCTTTCTAAAAAGCAGAAACCTCAATGAATTTTTGCTTTTGTAACTACTTTCTAACCAATTATATAGGTTATTTGGAAAGTAAGGTCTGATTTTTTATAAAACATAAACCATCACAGATATTTCCAAAAAAAACATTTTATTAATTCTGTATATGTTTCTCTATTTTTCTACATAGTTCCCATATTTGTTTAAACATTTTTCATAATGTTCTACAAGCTTTTGTATGCTTAAGCCATAGATATCTGCCACCTATAAGGATAATCAGTCTTGAACTGCTTCTTTCACTTGAATGCTTTGCTTGCAATAAGTGATCATCATATCAGTTAATACATTTTGCTATTAATAGTGCCTCACCTATAGTGCTTTCTGGAATTGTCTCAGCTCATTGAAGGATAATTATTAATAGTACCTGTGAGCTGGCTTTGACAGAAAAAAAAAACTAATTGTTTCATGTTTTGAAAGGAATTCTGGTTAAATGTTCCGGTTGTCTTAGAATGTCTTACATCATATGTGGAAGTGTTTTCATGCGATTAAAATAAATATATGTTCCTAAGAAATGTTAATTGTTTGATTTATTGGTTAAGCTCATGAAAATGACATGCCTAAATGTGAGGTTACTATCATAGAAGCCTTTCTGACAAAATCTGGCTCTTAAACATTAAGGGAAATTCATAAAGATTCATGAAGCCATATCTTTTTTTGCAAGTGTTGGAGATCAAAGCAAAACTACGTGTCTTCAGTATGCTTATTTCCATGATCACTAATGGGCCCTATTTTAGTGGGATCTCGTGCTGATTTATATTTCATATACAAAAGTTCTGTTCGGTTGGAAATCTCCATTCCAAAAATTTTCAAACCTGAATTGTTAGTTTGTATGGATATCTGTTTGAGAGCTTTCTATTTAGGAGAAAGGGGGCCTTCATAGAAATCTTTCTAACAGAAACTCACAAGAATTCATATCATAAAAACACCCATGCATCCATCTCTGCTCAGAATTTAATCCCATACAAGACTATTTCCTTTTTGGCTTTTAGCCATTTCAGTAGAGTCAAAGAATCGTAAATTCCAGGTTGCTCTTTTTTCCCCCCCTATATGTATAAGTGTGATTGTAACTGAAGGCAGACCCCTCCTCTGGGGGAAAAAAAAAAGAAAAAAAAAACTTGGTTAGTAGTTGCACCTGGAATTTGATACCTGTAACTGGGCTGTCTACAGATATTTTTGTGGTTTTCTCTGTGTGTAAAATTCCACAGAGGGAATTTCACGAAATTGGCAGTCCTTTTGCCATATTCACGTATTTCCCAGTTACTCCTTGCTCACACAAAGTATTATTCGTCACTGCATTTTCAACAGTTAAAAAAAAATTTGAATAATTTTCCCCTTGAATGAATTTGATTTTTGAGCTACTCATTTTCTTATCTCATGAGATTTTCTTAATCCCAAAAGCTTCAAGTATGAGTTTCAAATATTTATTTATTAGAAAAGAATAATTTGTGTAAAAACCAAAAAAAAAAAAAAAAAAAAAAAAAATTCTTTTAAACTGGCAGTTTGTCTGCATTACAAGTGTAATAAAAGCTCACTTGCCAAAAACTTAGGAAAGGAAAATTTCAAATAGCTGAATACAAAGGAAATGCAATTTGTGGTTTAAAAAAATAATAAATGTAAATGGAAGAAATTTCTGGTCTAAAATTGTAAAAACAATAATTTTATATCTTATCAAATATCAAAGATATCTGTAAAATTATGCAAGTTTTATTAAATGCATTCAGGACAAAAAAACGAACATATTCGATATGCCCTAATCATACAGAATTAAAATATCTCTTCTGACTGTAAAATCCCTCCCTCAGCCACGGAAGTTGGCAGAGATGTCACCAAACTTGTGTAATTAACAGATTCAAGATACAGGTACAGCATAGAAAAATATCAAACTGCTTAGCATAATTTTTCAGCTTGCATTGCCATTATTTACTCATTGAAAAAACTGAATATTACACATAGTTTTCTTGGTACCAGGATCCACTACTTTGAAACTATTGCACTGCATACTGTTCGATAGAAGTCAAGTCTCAAATTTTAATAATTTTTTTCAAAATGCAAAGGAAAAGCATTTAACTCGTATCCTTCTTTAACCTTTTAACTGTCAAGTTATTTTGATGATTTGGGTGCATAAATTGTCAATTTTTTTTATTTCAAAAATGAAATGTTTGCCTCACAGTCAAAAAATGCTGCACACTTTGAACTTCAACCTCTATCCTTTGAAACCTTCAGTAAAATGCTGCCATCTGTTGAACTGAAGCCGAAATAAACTTTACACGATATATATTCGGGTATAACAATACGATGCACTGAAAAGAAATTAGCCCGAGTATTACTCGGGCGTGACATTTTGGAATACCACGGGCATGACAGTTAAAAGGTTAAAAAGATTAACCAGTTTATCGAGCGTAATTGGACTTTTCATCAAGCTAAGGCAAATGTCTTATGCTTGTGTTGTAATGTCATGCTAATCGATATTTAAGATTATTATTTAATGCCATAAATGGGGACCTTGTTAGCTAATATTCTTAGAGTCTGTTAGTCGGTATTCTTAGCTTTACAAGTCTGTTAGTCAGTATTCTTAATCTAACACCGTTAGCCAGTATTCGTAGTATAATTGCTTTACAACTGGTTTGTTCACTTGATTTTCACTTGCAAAAAAGAAGTTTATAAATTGTACCTGGTTACATCTGTTTTCTGGTTGGTTAAATGTTTGATAGTCAGGCTGTTACTGTGTTATAAGACAAAATGAATTCGACTTTTAATGATTTAATGAAAGTTCCTCAAACAGTTAGCTTAAACAGTTGAAAATTACTTAGTGTTTCAGATAATGTAAGCAATTTCTTTTGCAAAAATTACGTTGCTTTTGTATTTTTCCTTACAACTATTGCAGCTGCATTTTAATAAGTAACTTTCTTATAGCCGTTTTGAGAGCAGCTGTAAGCTCATTTTGAAAACACCTTCATATTGTCTGTTACTGGAAAATACGTGGACTATTTCTCTTACACTGATAATGCATTATATCACTATCACCATTTCACTGAGATAGTCAGTAGTTTTCACTATACATTCCTAAAGTGGAATGTTTAATGTGACACATATTGTTTAGTTTGAAATAGCCATCAAACAGCTTTTTTATTAAATTTTATCATCCTACCTCTTGTTTAGCTTTTTAGTAGAAAGTGTTATCTATGCTAGTGAGAGAACTTGTTTTTAATTTATAAAATACTAATAACATCTTTCAGAGTAGACATTTTTAAACCCCTAATTCTTCCTTAAATTTAGATAATTTTGTTAAAGAATTTTCCGATCTTCCACATACCATAATACTTCATTGAATATACTTTAAGAAATTCATTTAAAATTGACCAGGGGTTTGTTTATAGCATAGGTGTAATAACAGTTTAGTGTTGGTTGTATGCATGCAAATTGTTAGATGTTATTGAATTACTGGGTTAATTAAGAATGTTTATGATTTTTGTTGCAAAGAATGTGGAGGTTTTTTAACTTCTGAAATCAGGTTCTATGAAGTTGAAGCTGGTCATGACTGGTATGTAAAATTTGGAGGCAGAGAAGATTTTCGTGTGGGATTCATAATACAGCAGTGTTTCAAATCAATACTGAGCATAGAGAAAGAAAGAAATACTGATCAAGAAAGGAATCCCAAAGATGCAAAAGACCTGTCTTCAAAAGCAGGTTTTAAGCGCAGCAGGCCAGAATGCAGAAACAAGGTTAGGGGGTAGTAGCATCTACAATTAACTCAGATTCACAGTTAATCCAAGGAGAGTTAAAATCAGGAAAGAGAAATAACCTTTGTTGTTGTTGTTGTTGTTGTTGTTAATCATAAGATTAACAAAAAGAAAAAAATTATCAGCAATTTACCTATACTTTCGAATAATTTCATCTGGAGAATAAATTCATTTAGTTATGTGACTTAAATCAATATTCAAAACAAAAGAAATATTATAAATAATGGAACAGTCGTTTTTGATTATACTAGGGATAACAGGTATGTGTGGTATGATGCAAATTGGAGAGTTTATGAATTACTGGGGTAATTAAGAAGTTTAATTTGTAAAAGAATGTGGAACATTAACCTGAAAGTCAAAAGCACATGACTGGTATGTAAAATGTGGACAGAGACGATTTTCGGTGGGATAATAAGGTTTTCAAAATCAAAGAGCATTGAGAAAGAAAGAATACTGATCAAGAAAGGAATCCAAAGATGCAAAACTGGTCCTCAAGCACGTTTAAGCGAGCAGGCCAGAATGCAGAACCAGTAGGGGTAGTTTTTGGTCACAGTTTTCAGAGAGTTTTTTCTCTAGAGTTTTAGTTGTTGTGTTGTGTTGTGTTTATAAGGAACAAAGAAAAATTATCAGCAATTTAAACATCGAAAAGCATCGGGAAATAAATTCAAAAGTTCTGTGCTAAATCATATCAAAACAAAGAAATATTATAAATAAGAACGTATTAAGCATCAATAGAAATCTCTTAAATAAGTGTTTAGAATGGAGCAATAAGTAAGTTTGAATCACATCACACCTTGTATTGCTACTGATTTAAACAACCATAAATTTTGAAATAGCTAAAGGTTTTCATAGAAGAACGATGGGGAAAGGGGGAAAAAAAGAAGAAAAATTGCATCGGCCAAGGAGTCGCAGAAGGTCGGGAATTTTTAATTAGGTCAAAATGGGTGTGTAGCAGGCTTGGCCATTTTTTACTTACTTTTTCTTTGCGTGAGTCTATGTGTTATTGTTGATCAGAACCCTAGTAATTAAAGGGCCAGGTACTCTGATTCCGAACTTTCGCTTTACCACGGAGTCTGATAACAATCAGTGATGGTGACTCCTTACAATGTTTATTTCTTCGCGGCCGGTCCTTCTGATGAGGAGGGAACCTTTAGAGGCTCTCGAAATGATGGTGTTTTAATATATTACGCTAAATCATGTATTGGAGTTGAAGTGTAATGCAGAAGTTATCGGAATAAATGTTTCTATATTTTATTACCCCCTGAGAAATTAATGAATGTTTGTAATTGCTGATGGAAATAACGACTCAGCTCATTTATGAAAATTCAGAGGCTTGCATTTAAGGAATACAAATGATAAGAGACCTATTTTATATGGGTAATGTGGCTTTAAAATCTAATACATAAGAGGCTTGTTTGATTATATGCATTTCTAAAATGAACATATATACAAAAGTTAAAAAAAGTGTTGTTTTAAAAAGGGGTGAAATGGGCGAATAGGGAAAATTGATGGGAAAATAAAAATATCATCGCTGGACTTGAATGAAAGCAGTGAATATGTGAGAATATACCTATTGATACTAATTTATGTGCTGTCAAATACATCATTTTTCTTGAATTCATTGAATACAGAGCAGCCTAAGTAAAAACAAGTAGAGGTGAGACGGTCATAAAATAGCTTGCTGGTAGAAACGACCAGAGTATATGATTGTATATGCAAGAAGAAATCTCTAAAAACCATGAAATAGTCAGCAAGGATTTTTATTAAAGTTCACAATGTGTTATTATAGCTAGTTAATGTGGTGGCCATATCAAATCACGTAACCCAATAATATAAAACAAATAATAATATGCAAGGCTAAAGTGTCAAGAAGGGAGTCTTCGTGGGACACTGAAGGATTAGACATTTTTGATACACGGGGAATGCTGCAATAATGACTTTCATTACAGGATATTTGATACACAGTGATCATACGAGACCAGTCCTGAAATAATATGCAATGACGTCTGGGCACATAATAATCGTTATTTTATTCCTCTAAAAAATATTGTTTGGCTAACTTAGGCATCCTACTCCAGCAAGTATAATTTCTAAAATTGAGAGAATAAACAGGTCCTCGCAAAAGTAACATGTGAACAACCTTCAAAAAACCTTGGGGGGGAACTACCAAACCGCAGGTAAAGGTGGTTAAAAAACATCAATACCCATCTACTTTGGTAAACAAACAAATCCAACAAAAACAATCAGTCAAAAAACTATCCCAAAAAAACAACATAAAACACAAAAATACCAAATCTAATACAAAACAAAAAAAAACGGTAACTGACGGGAACAACTATATAACCCACTTATGCCCAAAAAACTTAAAAAAAAAAAACAAACATCCAGACTTAATAAAAAAAAACCAACCGCCACAAATAATAAAAATGCGGGAAAAAAAGTTTTTTTTTTTTTTTTGTTTTTTGCTTTTTGCAATGAACTTTTGTTTTTTTTTTTTTTTTTTTTTTTTTTTCACAAAAAAAAAAAAAAATACAACTTTATTGAAACTGTTTTGTATTTGTTGTTTTTTAGGTCTAAAATTAGTTTGTTATTTTCCACAGAAGTTTTTATTGAAAAAGACCAAAATTAAGATTCATAAATTCAGCAGGTAAAATGTGATGAAGATTTAATTAATAAATGATTAATAAGATTAGCACAATAAATTCCAAGTACGCAATGAAAGTGAATAGTATATCAATGCGGCTCTTTGATAAAACCATGAAATCTTCTAGTATTCAAGCTTTAGAAGCGATGAAGCTATCAGTTTTGCAATATTTTTAACAGTTGGTTTATGAATAATTAAACAAAGCTGACAGCGAGTAAGTGGCGAACGGTATGATCGGGGATGACTGGAAGTGATAAAAATTAAGATGCAATACAGGTGTGAAAATAACCAGGATCGTGATTTAAAGAATTGTCAGAGGGCAAAATGGAGACAATACACTGGTCAGCCTCAGTTTTTCAAAGTACCAACTCAAGATTTTGCGCAAATCTCTGACAGTATTTTCTTCTGTAGCATTCATATAGTTGTTCTAAGATAGGCTGTTCAGGAGTGTGGTTTATTCATAGGAGATCCTAGCAAAAGGCTAGTTTTCGTCAGTTCAGTTAAATAAGCAAAAAAAAATGAGATCCATGAAAAAATAATGCTGCTGTTATTTTAACAGCATTAAGAAGAAATGTAATCAGTTCAATGTCATAACTTCCAAGGATTAGGATTTGTGTGTAAAAATTCTAAATAGCCGATGCCGTCAGCAGTCACACAGAAATTATGCTAGTGCCTCAGGAATCGGAATTTAGGTGTAGTATATTGGAAGAAAAGGAAGTAACGTACAAAATGAGAGGGGCATTTGGAGATAACAAGCAATAGCAGTTAGGTTGTGGCATTTTGGGTAACTTTAGGGTAACAGAGCCAAACCCTTGTCAGCCACCACTGACCAAATGATTAAGGCCATTCAATGTAAATTCTTAAGTAAGGGCTGACTTTCATTCAAAAAAAAAAAACAAAAAAAACTATAAAAATTAGAAATCGTGGGATTTTTTTTTTCTAAATTACCCTGTATCATGTAACATTCATAAACTGGCTGCCTTCTGAAATCAATTTAAAAGCGTTACCTGACACAGCGCAGCTTCATGCAATTACCTTTTCTGTCTATACAAATCTCAGATTAAATATATCGCCATTATCTTATTTTTTTTTTTTGTTTTTGTTTTTGTTTTTGTTTTGTGTGTGTATAGTTTCGCTATTTTATTTTTTAACTTCTGTTTTGCATAGCTTTCTAAATAAATATAATAAAATTTCTGAGAATTTTTCATCTACATTAAATATTCTTATTAATATGTACTACAAGAAGTACCATGGAAAATACTGCTTGACACTGATATTGCCCTATTGTGGAGGAATTACTTACAAATGTGCAAATAGCCGAGCAGGTGTGCTCACTCAAGGTACACTTAACTAGAACTGTGACATATTTTCATGAAATAAATATGCAAGAAGAAAGAATGATGTTTCACAGTTTGAAGTCTTGCAGGTATTTCATAATCTGCTGAAGTTTCTTGAAAATTTTTCAGCAAATAACAAAAATGCTAAGTACACATAGCTGGTAGGTTAATACTATTTACTTTTCAAAAGAATAAAAGTTGTAAGTATTTGTTAAGTGAGTTCTAGTTGTATAGCTTCGTCTGTGTGCAACTGGATGTATGAATTCTTGCCTATTTGCACTAGTATTAACATTGAGTTTCTAACTTGCATTGCAAAGGCGGTGGTGCAGTTCAGTAAGTCATCACACTTTTGACAAGCTGATATTCAATTCATCATACAAGTGCAAAGACCTGATGGCAAAATTAGCATGCTATGCCATTGAGCATAAACATTGCCATTGGAAGCCAAACTGTAAGAAGGAAAAGTGTGCAGCGACTATTGCGTAGATTAATTGCAGTATGTGAATTATTGATTGCATTACATTACCATTATGTGACCATTGCAAGCTGTTATAGGATTCATCTGGCATAGTGTTAGTCATGCAAACAGGGGGGTAGTGGCTGGACTTTTCTTGACCTCATTCAGGATTCTGATTTCCCTCCTCTTTGCACCAACTGTTGTTGGATCCATGCTTGACGATGCCTTGGTGAGAGAATGGATCCGAGTTTCATTTGCAACTTCCATACCTTTCTGCAGGTTGGCATCATGATACAGGATGACAACAAGGCATCCCGTGCTCATGTCAGAGTTCATTGATACTGCATGATACATAACAAAATTCTGAAGCTGACTGGATTGTTGTTCCTGAATCACTTGCAGTATCTCTTTTTAGATAATAATATCTGTTTATACAAGGTGTGCATCAACAACATATCATGTATACCTATTTTACTCTGTAGACAGTGTTTGTAGTGTGATCTATGGCTATCAAGGTTAAAAATCTATAAGATGATATTGGACATCATCTGCAATTCATCTGGCCAGTGTGAGAACTCTCTTGATATGACAGCTGAGTGACCGTTTTTAGTTTTAATTCCTCAAGTCTGTATTCATAGGTTATAACTTATTACTAATTGCTGCTGTTTATAGAAGTGCAACTACGGATTGATGCATCCAAACTGTACTGCAATAGCTCATCTTCTAAAGCAGTGTAGGTAGCTTAAAATGAAACCAAAGTAAATCATAGTGTATTCATCGTTACTTGCTGTATTTAACTCAACTTTTCTTGTTAGGGCAATTTTGAATGTCAAGTAGTATAATTACTATGGAACTTTCAAAGTAATGTTCTTTAATTTTTTCCAGTGTTCCTTAATTTAAACTGCCATAACTCAAGAGAAGGAATATATGTATTCTTTTTAATTTTTTAGTATGCCTCCATCTATGGTTATGAGTGCAGGCTCACATTCTCAGTTCCAGAGTCCAGATGCTGCATCCTTTCCCAATACACCTGGAAGCTGTCCATCAGCACTGGAAAACAGCCAAGACAGTTTAACTAGTCGTTATCCTGTATCAGCACCTGCCAGTATGGAGGGAAACATGCAGCGATTTACAGCTCCAAGTCCTCAGATGCCTGGTTTTGAATCAGGTCCAAGGCATATGATGCCTGTCTCACAAATGGGAGATAACTCAGTGTCTAGATTTCCTGTAGCACAAAATTTGGAAATGATGAGAATGCCTGGTCCAGGATCTATGGGTCACAATTCATTGGATGACAGTGTTGGTAGGTTTCCTGGTCCTGGATCTCAAGGTCCTGTTTTTGGACTTGGTTCTAATAATATGAATGCTGTATCTCGTTTCCCTGGTAATACCTCTGAAGGAATTCAAAGGTTTCGTGGGCCAAGTCCTCATCCTAATATGGACATTGTGCATTCACGTTTCATGGGAACAAGCCCTCATATGTCATGTGTAGATAATATTTCACAGTCTTCTCAATTTAACAACATGGGCTCTGAAGCAATACCACCTATACCTTCTCAGTCCTTTCCAAATTCTGCTCAAACAATGACTTCTAGGAGTAGTCCTTGTGTTAATAATAATTTTTTAGTTGATGGACCTATATCTCATTCTCTTCAAAATTTACAAAAAATGACGCCTCCTTTTGAAAGCATGTCAGGGAACAAAGTATCACCTGATGTTATGTCACCAATGGGACAGTGTTCTAACTCTTCTGTTAATGGTTCTAATAATTTAAGTATACCTCCTTATGGTGGAACTAGTCCATTAACATCATCTGCCCAAGCAGGTTCTTCCCAGCGACTTTCTCATTTTGACCCCATAGCTTCAATGGCAGCTATGAGTGAATCTACTGTACCTCTTATAACAGCTGGTGGAACAACTCAAACGCATCAAAATATGGTTACCTCAAATATGAATGTTACAAATATGCAAGTGACAGGCAATTCTGCTAATAATAATCAGCCTGGTATTGTTAATTTTCATACAAATATGCAGTCAATGCAGAGTGCGATGCAAAGTAGTGTGGCATGTTCAATGCCAAATCAGCATAATCAGTATAGTATGCACAATCAAATGGCCCACAATGCAGGTTGTGGGCCTCAAACTGTAAATAATACACATGTTAATGCCACAATGTCAATTCAACAGCTAAATATACAAAATGTTATAACTACTGCTCCTTACAATACAAATACTCAAGGATCTAATATGAACAATCATCCAATGCATGCAGGTTGTCTTGGAAATGGAGCAAATACGATAAGTTGTTCTGTTACAACAAACCATCCTATCATGCATACAGCTGTAACATCAAGAACTTCAAATTCAAATATGATGATGCCTGGGCCTAGGCATGGGCTGCAGAGTTTTCCTGGCCAGCCTCTTGTGCAGAGGAATGTTGCTCCAACTGGTGCTGGCAGTCCCACAATGATGGCAAGGGGAGCACCATTTAATAGCACAAATATTCAAGTTAAAGCAAGTGCTCCAAACACAATCCAGTATCTACCTGCAAGGCAACAAAATGCTAATCCTGTTCACAATCGTCCTCCGACGCTGGAGTTTCTCCAAAGATTTGCTGCTCCTTTAACTAATCTTGATAATAAAGTTCCAACGCACAATCTACAATACTTCCCTAATAGTGGAAACTCCAATCCACCTACAGTTCATAGTGGGATTGGTATAAATCCTGCTTCAGGAACTGTAGCACCTGGTATGATGAACAGTCAGAGGCCTGTAAATATGATGATGGGACCTATGATGAGGGGAGCTAGTCCTAATGTTTCTCATCCTAGTAGTCAGATGTTTCCAGTTGGATCTGGTCTTCCAGGTGCTGAATCGCCTATGTTTGGTCGTCCTCCTTGCCCGTCCGTAAGTAGTCAAATGATTCCAATGAATGCAATGAGTGGTGGTCAAAATGTTGCCATGTTTTCAAATAAGCAGATGCCGCTGCCAATGGGTGGAATAGCTCCAGATGCTACTCAACCATTGCCTCCCTCAATGGGTCAGTCATTTAATTATAAACAGTCACCATTTTATGGACCTACTACTGCTGATCCAAATTATGCTGTTCAGTTTCATAACTTCCAGCAGCAGCTTTATGCAACAAATACAAGAGGCAGTCAAATGAATTCCCAAAACAGTATGGGTGGTCAGGGGTTCTTTGGCCCAAAGTGATTTGTTGAACTATGTAATTTGTTGATGGTGCCATTTTCAGCCATTATTGAACTGCATGATGTTAATGAGGTGCTTGTGTTGAGCACAGCATCTCAATTTACGTTCCTGCCAAATGTGGCTTAGCTCTTGTATTGTTAAGGACAAATAATAGTCACTCATTTCTTAATATTGTATATATTCTCATAACATTCATTCTGTAGGATAAATCTTGTACAGGCTTTTATTGTTTGTATATAAATAAATACCCTGCCAAGTATGTACATGCTCACAAGTTGTTGTTATTCTAAAAAGAAATCCTGTTGGCTCAGTGTGCAGTGTCAACCTGCTCAATGTGTTATAAGTGAAGCATTATAAGCTTCAGTGGACAATTACAAAGCTGCACACATGATATTAATAGAAACAGAAAAAATGTCTGATAGCTGTATTAAAACAAGAGCTGTTTTTTTTTTTTTTTTTATGTATATAATACATAAAGAGAAGAAAAACAGCTCTTGGCTTTTTCAGTTAGGTGGAATCAAGAATTGTGGTGCCATCAATTATGAGTACCTGGCTAATGTTATGCCAGAACTGCAATTTCATGTGTAATTTTGTTTCTGACAATCCTCAAAGACCAAGTTACTTACTATGTTTGTGCCATTGTGACTATCAGTCGCACTTTATACATTTTTACTGTGTACATATTACCTCTCTTAATTATGTTCTGTGATGAGATTGTGTTGCATCCACTTCTTGACTTGTCTTATGCTGCTGTTGTATTTTCTTTGGGAGTTGGACTGTTAAAACATCAGTCAGTAGTCTGAATATTTTTGCTTAGATTGATTTACTACCTCATGGCAAGATAGCTAAATTTTTTACAGTTAACATCAACTCATTCCAACTTCATTAAAGTTTATCAGTTTTGGTTTAATCAGTATTTAACAATATTTATTATTTATTTCATATTCATTATATTCAATCAAATAGCAAGCATATTTATATTGTTTGTAATTTTTATTTTTTATGTTTTTAGTTGCTGGAATTGTTTTTAATACTTAAAAATATGTTCAGTCTGAAGAGAAAAGTGTAAATGTGTTTAGTTCAAATAGGCATATTCCTGGTGTGAGTTGATGTTTTTTTACTACAGTTAAGCAATCTGGAATTTTTTTTTTTTTTTTAATTTCTGTTTTGTGCAAGTTCTATTTCATATAAAAGACTCCATAACTGAAAATTATCAGCTTATTCAATTATTCAAGCTGTAATTCAGATAAGAATTACAGACTTTTCAGTCATAAAATTGTTTTGAAAAACATGATTTTTTTAATGTGTGATTAAATATATGTGTGTCAGAAAATTCTAGTTGTTATTTTCTTTCATATATATATATATATATATATATTGTAAAAGTACATGGTAAATTGGCTCTCAAATTATATTCAACAGCTAAAACAGGTAGAGAAACATATCATTGTGTACCCATGACTATTTATTAATAAAAATGCATTTTTGAGCATGTATATATGAAACCTTGAGTTTTGTTATTTTGTTGTCCTTTTCTCCCCCCTTTTCTTCATTATCATTTTATGTAGCATCTTGTATGTTGATTATTATAGATCTGTGATACTTGATGTTACATTAAATGGAAACATTAATGCAGTGTGTAGGAGCATAGGTTTAATGAATTTGTTAATATCTTCAACCTTAGTGTATTACAGACTGAAGCATATTTTAAACTGTGTGTGTGTGTGTGTGTGTGTGTGCATGTGCATGCATGTAAGTCTGTACGTATAAAATAAGTTTTATTGGCTACCATATTAAATTATTAAACATTTGCAGAATGTTCTTGTTTTCAAATTTTTATTCATGTACTTAAAATATTTTTATGTTGTCATAGTCATTTGTTTTTGAAGTGAGTCTTGTGGTACTGAAATTCTTCATCAAGACAGGCAATTATAACTATTTCTCAAATCATGTAAAGCCGTATTTGATTCATTGAGCAACTGTTATTTACGTAATTTTTACTTTGTTAATGGTAATTAGAGAAAATTCTCATAAGATGTGCCTTATCAGAAGTCTTACATAAATGGATCAATTAAATGATCTTCAATCCTCGTAAGAATAGTTTTTGTTTCATAAATGCACACCAAAATTATATATATTTCTGTTAGTGTTTACTATTCTGCAATAGATGAATTTGCTGTGTGATGCATATTACTTTTTAGTTAAGTCATAATTTGTAGGTGAAATACTTATGATTTCAAGCACATTTGATTCTGTTAAAGTAAGATGTTTAAACTGTAAATGTGGAATGTTTGTCCTCTTTTTTCCCAAAAATAAAATTTGCAAGTATTGATACATAGTATTCTTTTAATGTAATTTTTTTACAAATGTGCTTTATTCTTTGAATAACAAAATTATGATTTCAATTTATTTATTGTCCATCTATGGAAGTCTTTGTAAAACCTGATGTCTTCCCATATTACTGTGTGGTTGCAGATTCATAATTATTAATTGATGACGTAATTTATTGACATAAATTATTCCTTTATGAAATGACATTAAATAGCTAGTCTTTTAAACTCTGAGGGCATTATTTGTTTTCAATTCATAGCCAAAAATGGTCTTGGGAGACTGCATAAAATTCATTTACGTTATAACAAACACCATTTTTAGTCCATGAAATATAATTATTGGTATTTTATTGAGTGATGGAATGTTAACATCTTGTTACATTGGTCCTATTACTTACAAATAGAGAAAAAGGCTTGAAAGTACAAAAGTAATTTATTGGGTAAAATAAATCATTTGATTTTTCATGTTTTTTATCAGTAAGGGTTTAGATCTTGCTATGTACAATCTTTGAATGTTGTGACATAATTTTAAAATGTTCATTATTGAATAAAAATTTTAAAAAGTTCCTAGGCCTGAAAATTTCAGAAAGGATAAAAAAAAAAAAAAGATTGCCAGCTGCATATGTTAACATCATACTGTTTCAGAAGTATATTTTTGATAAATTTTATATCTTGCTTAATCTTTTTTGTTTCTTTGTTTTCCCCTTTTTTCCCAATTCAAGCGGAGTGTAGCTGTCTTGCCTTTGTTGCTGCTGACAAGTCTGCTATATTGTTTTAACTGTGCTTAATTGCATACATCTTTGTATGCATTGCCATGTATACTAACAATGTTTTGGGAATGGGGAGAAATAAACTCCTTTTATTGAAAAAAATTGACTTCATAATTATATTTTTTATAGTATGTGTTGAGTGGGCTTTGTTGACTCTTGCTAGGCGTATATTTTAAATTGTGAGTATAATGCCATTTAATATGTTTTTATGTAAGGAATATGAGATTGAAAAGCCTGTCTAATTTTTCTGCTTTCTTCCCTGCCCCACCAAAGTGAGTTTTACATAAAAATAAGAATATTTTAATGGCCTTTTGCAGTGTGTATGGATATTCAGCTTAATTGTGAATCTGAAAATTACGTCTGCTAGTTGAATTAAAAATTACCTAAAATCTAGTCATTTATAGCATTAATTTTTTTAACTTTGGATTACACTTCTAAAGCCATTGTATGAGTGTAAAATTTTCCATTAAATAATGAATTCCATGGAAAATGAGATGCTTACATTATAGCTAGAATTCCACTTGAAGATTGATATTATTAATCAATGTATTATATATTTCATAAATTTTAAATGCCTTGAAATATGCATTTTTGGTAGTAATATATTTCCGTATATAAGCTAATAATTTTTTGATTTTTTCTAAAGCTAAATGATGGGGATTGGCTTGTACATGGGTCTGCTAATATCACAAAAAGTGTAGGTATTTTTCTGTTAGCTGAGTGCGAATGATAAATCACTAAATATCACGCTTGTTCATTTCTTTAGTTTATATTTCTAAAGTTAATGGAAAAAATAATTTTAATGAAATTAATTATTCATTTTATGAAAATACATTGTTTATAATGATGGTTTTTGACATCATTGCCAAAATGTAAGATTTGTTTGCGAAATTTGAGCCCGGCTTTCATCATTCTGGAACTTGTTTTTCATTTACAGAGAAATGCTGAGCAGCCATTCTGCTGTTAGAATTTTCACCAGACATGATTATGTGTAATTTGAAATTTGCCTTACAAGAATTTCACTTCCCAGTCATCTTTCGGATAAAAAATAAATCTAGCACAGATACCACAAATCATATATGTACAGCAAGTAAATGGAATAAATGTGTTAGCTTCTGATAGGGTTAGTAGAGTTAAAACTATTGTTGTTGGCATCTAGCATTTTACTTTACAGTAGTTTGATTCAGAAAATTCCACTTGTTATACCTGCTTGGTGACATGTTTGAATGTTACAAGAATTTTTTTTTTTTTCCCTTCTTTCCATTTCCTCTTATATACAGGGGTAAATGTTTGAAGAAAAATCACACTCCTTATATTCGGAAATATATGGTAATTCTATTGATCATGTTTTCAATTTAATTAATCACAAGCTAGAGACTATATTTTTTTTATGACCATGTAGTTTTTTAGGAATTCAGTTTTATCACCAAAATTACTATTATTTTATTTCTTACTACATTAGCAAAATAATGAGCACATATTTTAATTGTAAAGTAGGAAAAAACTCCATAATTGGAAGTTTCACAAGCAGGGCCGTGTAGTGATCGGGAGCCAGATTTTAGGTTATTTAAAAACATATGGTGGTTCTGTAATTTATATTAAAAACTTGCTGTGAGATTTTTTATGTTGTATTATATCATAACTTTTTCAGACAAAGATTTAAGTTTATTCCATCAATTAACATATTTTGTATGGAAGCACTTTTAGGCACATCTTATTTAGTACTCTAATTCTTACCAAATGTAACATATTACATCTGTCAGATACTAAAATAGCAACTTTTATACATTGTTTCATCTTCACAAGGAAGGGAAGTTCTGATCTCGCATATCTCCAAAAAGAAAAAGTGAAAAATTAACCTCTGTGACTCTCCTTTATTCATAAAGCTGTTTTAACTAAAATCTAGTGCTGCAAAAGCTCAGAATTTTAAAATCTTCATAATGTTGGTAAAAGTCCAATGTCTGTTGTAGCACTATGAGGATGGAGCACTAAGGAAACTATATCACTAGGAGTTCGGGCTGGCAGAGGAAAAACACAATATCAGACAGTGCAGTAACAGAAGTTGGCACTGCAGTGTTCAATGATAAAGGGACTAGCAGTGGTCCAAGTGCTGATGCAATAGCTCACAAAATCGACATGGCTTATGCTACTTTCAGGAAAATCCTACGGACAATGCTTCATTTCTATCTATAAGTCATACATAAGAATTAAGAATAACAGATTGTGATAAGGGCTTGACTTTTGTACTGTTTCTGGCCTGAATGGAAATTGAAAAATATTGTAGGAAGATGAGGCTCATTTTTATCTGAATAGGTCCATCAGTACTGACAGCTGCTGAATTTGAGCATCTGAATGTCTCACAGTGATCTATGAAGTGTTACTGCATTCTGCAAAACTGTGTAATGTGGATTCATGGCCAATTTTGTAATAAGACCATATGTTTTTGAGAATGTGTGACCTGCATCATTACGAATGAGCAATATCAGCAAATGCTGCAAACTTTTATCCCTCAAAGACAGTTCTGGATTCGAAAATTTTTTTGCAAGATAGCCCACAGCCGCATATTCTCATTTCAGTATAAAATCTTTTACTTCACCATTTCGGTAATGAGAGAATTATCCTTTCCCAAACATTCAGCCCATGTCACTTTTGGTTGTGGCAATACCTCAAATTCTTTTTGTGCGGGTTTTAATAAATTAATAGCCAGAATACCTGGTTTTTTACTTTCTTGTTTTAGGATTTGTGAAGTGTAGGCACTGTAATCAGAAATCTGTAAATTCAAAATATTTTCCAAATTTTATTTTAGAACAAATAACTAAGCAAATGCAGTTGAGAAGTTACAAACTAAGTTAATATTTAAAAAAAGTTATACAGTCAAAAGTCATTAATCCGGACTCGTCAGGACTTTGGCGATTCCGGATTATAGATCATCAGTTTAAATCTGGTAAGATGGCATGCAGAAATTACAAAATTAAAAATATGAAACCGTAATTTATGAAATAAAGAACAATTATGATCTAAAGGATATCAAAATTTACAAAAAGAAAAAGCTTAATATTTATTTGTTTAAGTTGCTTCATTTTATGGGATAATACTTTCTCTTTAATTCTATTAAACAGACATAATTTCTTGTTTAGTTACAAAGTTCCGCTGTTCAAGTCCTATAATTGCTGTGTTGAGAATACCGACTAATTTGTCAATCGAAATTTTTCGTTTTCAATAACCTCTGTGTCACTTTCACTTTCTTTCTTCACTATCGGAAGCGAATTATAATGACGAGGAACTTGATTTAAATCATATCAAAGACGGAGTACATCGAGATGAAATACTACATTTAGTAAGGAATTATAAGCCAAATAAAATAAAAACATCTGCCCTGAAGATAAGGATAGTGCTGACAGATCAACTTCCAATTCATTGCGCGCCGCGACGTGAAATTGATAAACAGATTTCGGATTTCAAAACATACTTTCGCTTTGTAGATCTTTTACATATTAGTAAATATATATCGGAAATTCTATTTGACATAATCGAAAGTTCAAGCTTACTTTTATAAAATTGCTCTAACAGTCTGCAAAAAATAATAAGCCGGATCCAATTCGAAGATTAAGGAACAACGCAATCTGCAACATTAACTGAATTAGATAATTTTAGCTTAGCTTATACCGTCCGTTACACATTAAACGTGCATGCGCACACACATATTCGCAGTCGTAAAGTTCTTACGCGCACTCTTAAACGCCTATGCGCATGTGCGACGCATGCGCAGAAAGTTTGTAGATTTGAGGTCCGAATTAACGACTTTTGACTGTATTTCCACTTTGTCTTATACAGAAATAGAACAAATTGATATTGTATACTTTTGGGCTGAGGTATTTAAACTGAACAAAGACAGCAAACAGAGATACCCAGTAGTCAAAAAAGTGATTAAATCTGTTTTAACTTGCTTCCATGGACTAATTTTTGAATGTTCATTTAATTATATGTAAGGTATGTCAGAATGAAGAACTTCCTTGATCAACAATAGCTTAGATGCTGAACAGACTGAAATGTTATTTATTCTCATTACACAAAACAATATATCAAGCTTTCAAGTCTGATGAATATTAGTAAAAGTTTTAGGGACAATTTACTGCATTACTAGACAGCTTACTAAGCCTCTTCATATTCTATGAACCATTCTCTTTTTTCTAATAGTTCCTTATCTCCAACATTTGTTGATGCATACTGCGAGTTCAAATCTAATTCTTATGTGAAAAGCCATTGTTTATACCAAAATATTTTTTCATACTGAATTTTCAGTTCTTAGCAAGTGTAAGTGCAGTAGTTTCCAGAAGTATTACTGTCCCCCTTCCAAAAAAAAAGCAAGCTTAGCTTAATTAAATTTAAAAATTGTTGAGAACCTAAATAGATAGGCACTATGTTACTTGATGTTGCAAAACACAAATTTATTCTTAATCAATTTTAAAAATATATATTTTTTGCTTTGGTAGTGAAATAATTTTAAAGTTTGTATTTGTATCATAACAATATTCAGAATTACTTGGAATTATCTAAGATTCTTACCGCATTGTATTTTTCAGATTTTTGAAATGGGGTTGCATTTATCCCTCCTTAAACTCTCTTGAAATTTCAGAACTAGCCATCAGTATGCCACTAATGGATGGAAAGTCATGCTTTCAGTACACTATATACATATTAAGAGAGTCTTGGGGAGTTTATATATAAAGTTTGGAAGCTCTCCATATGTCCACATAAAATCCTTAGAGGATTTCATTCCAAAAGGATGTATTAGATAAAGACTATGATGTCTTGTCCTGTATTTTAAAATATAGTAATAGATCTTCACTTTAAGTTGTTTATTGCAAATTATGAAAAAATGATAAATATTATTTAATAATATGAAGACCCTTGAAATTTTTATATAGTATAATATTAGTGTTTCTTTATGTGGGCTTTTTAACTTGTTATGTAAATCATTAGTCTCTTAAGAAATGGTTATATACTGTGTACTTTTCCCTCTTGGTTTTAAAGCAGTAAAATCTTGAAAATAGGGGAGAGGAATATGCGAGTAAATATGGGATAGAAAGGTGTTTTCCAAT